AGAAGGTTGTCACGCCCTGACTCTGGGGACTCGTATTTGTTGAGTCAGGGTGTGTATTTTCTGTGTATTTGTCTATGTTGTATTTTTCTATGTTTAGTTCTAGTATGTCTAGATCTATGTTTGCCGGTGTGGTTCCCAATCAGAGGCAGCTGTCGCTCGTTGTCTCTGATTGGGGACCATACTTAGGCAGCCTATTGGCACTAGTGGGTTGTGGGATCTTGTTCCGTGTTGAGGTATGTTGTGTTGTGCTGCCTTGGACTTCAACGTTTCGTTTTGTTTGTTATTTGTCGTTGTGTTTGATATTTAATAAACATGTACGCGATATCACGCTGCGCCTTGGTCCGTCCCGTCTATGAACGAACGTGACAAAGGTAGAGAAGCGCTTTATTATGGACAGACTTCCCCCCCCCCCCCCCCAGTTTAGCTACTGTTGTATCAATATGTTTTGACCATGACAGTTTACAATCCAGGTTACTCCAAGCAGCTTAGTCACCTCAACTTGCTCAATTTCCACATCATTTATTACAAGATTTAGTTGAGGTTTAGGGTCTATTGAATGATTTTCCCAAATACAATGCGTTTAGAATGATCCAATGCATAGAACAAATTGTTGTATTACAGCAAGCCTTAAATAATGACCTTTGGGAGCAGTGAGTGGATGTTCTCTTTTTTTCTACACAAAGAAAAAAGAGGAAAGCAATAATGTTCACTTCCCTGTACATCCCAAAGTCTTTAGCCTTCCTCAGCAGTAGCACGGCACGCGTCTGGCCTAGTGCTGTCGCTCCTCTTTAGGAACTCAAATACTATTAAAAAGGCATTTTTAGAATAACACTAAGCCTGAGACAAACCTCTTGGGCAAGCCTCTTGTGTGTGTGTGTGTGTGTGTGTGTGTGTGTGTGTGTGTGTGTGTGTGAGCGTGTGTGTGCGCGTCTGCGTGCGTGTTATGCCAACTGTGTGCCAGATCACAGGATGTCTTGCTGAACGGAAAGACACCAACCCAACGGACAGTAACCCTTTATGTGACCATCACCAGCACCACAGGGCCAGGACATGTCACCATAGAGATTACAAACTAATGTGGAAAGTAAACATTTGTTTTATCTCTATGCATGTGACTTCATTCCCTTACTGATTCAGACCAGGGATTCTGTTAGTATTAAAAGCTATTTTTACATCTTACATTAAATGGCCGCTGTTATTGGTGGTTGTATATGTATTGGTGGAATACAGCCTCCATTCCCGTAATGCTTCATAGAAGGAATCCTGGTACTGTAGGATTAAACATATTTTGACATCTTACATTAAATGGCCGCTGTTATTGGTGGTTGTATACAGTATATATGGTGCGAAATTACACTGGTGTACAAACATTAGGAACA